CCCAAGAGAAATAGCTGTGGGAAGGATCACCAAGGCAGAGGCACCACCTAGTGGCAGCAGCTGCTCTGCACCCACAGGGCCTGGGGCCTCCGGCCTCAGCAAGCCCCAAATCCCAGCAAGGCCTGGGCCTGAATGTAAGCAGATGCCAGCCCACTCGCACAGGCCCAGGGCACTCCCAGCTGCTGAGCCCTCTGCTTCCAGGCTACGTGATATCACCTCAGGTCCCCACGGCTGAGGGGAGGGGATCCCCAAGCTCGCCCACAGAAGCACGCGTGTCTCTACACATGAACAGCAAGTGTGCTCACCCCTCCCATGGGACCACAAGCGGCAGCTATTGCCCGGGGCCCCAGCTACTCACTGCATCTGTGTCCCCATTGCCCACTTCATCGCCACATTCAATGTTGCCTGACATGGGCTTCAGAAATCCCTAAGAACTGCCCCAAATCTGGTCCCTAAAAATAGAAAGAAAGGCCAGTGTATCTGTGGTTTACCCAGAAATAATGCACTTTGTTTTTGTTTCTTTTTGAGAGACAGGGTCTCATTCTGTCACTGGAGTACAGTAGTGTGATCACGGCTCACTGAAGCCTTGACCTCCTGGGCTCAGGTGATCCTCCCACCTCCGTCTCCTGGGTAGCTGGGACTATAGGTGAGCCCTGCTGAGCACAGCTATTTTTTTTCTTTCTTTTTTGGTACAGACAGGTCTCAACTATGTTACCCAGGTTGATCTCAAACATGTAGGCTAGAGTGATCCCCCTGCTGCAGCCTCCCAAAGCACTGGGATTACAGGCGTGAGCCACTGTGCCCAGCCAGAAATGCACGTTTACCAAACCCTCGAAGTGCACATGTTTACCAAACCCTCTATGAGCCAGAAATGCACATATTTACCAAACCCTCTATGAGCCGCATTCAGTACCCCCAGCCTGCATTCCCAGGGACTGTGACATGGGAATGCTATGTTAGTGCTACCCCCACTAACATCGAGCATGAATCAGAACCACATTCAGACACCCACCCTGCGGTGCACAGGAAACACAAGGAGTGGTGGGGAGCTCTGAAGGGGTCCAGGCCCGGCAGGTGTCAGAGCACGTGAGGAAACCTGCCCTCTACCAGACCCACAGCCAAGGCCAATGCAGGAAACTAGGGGTCAACCCCCACAGCGAGGATGGCTCCATCCCTTCCTGGACATCAGCCTCTGGCTGCTCAGAGAGGTCGCTCGCACCAGCCGTCTCCTACTCACAGGGCCCTCCACAAGTACATGATGGCATCTGATCTTCACACGCAGCGGGGAGGAGAACTCCATGTTCCCCTTTCAATGTAGAGAACACTGGCCCAGAGCAGCGCAGTGACTTGAAACGGGTCTTACTGTTGGTGGGAAGGGGACTTGAATCCAGCCCCCCCAGCCCCCAAAGCACTATCTATTTTCCTCATCAAAGCTGCAGGGCACCACACATGCATGTCACTTGCCTCCCACCCCACTTTAAGCTGGCAGTGGACACAGGCAGCCCACCTCCACCAGCCCTGTAGACCGACCCCTCCTCTCCCCCATGCAGGGCCTGGCCACCAGGATAGGCAGAGTAAACATGGAACACACCGGCCAGCAGCACCCCAGGCCAGCTCATCCTCACACCGGCCGGCAGCACCCAGGCCAGCTCGCCCTCACACTGGACGGTAGCATCCAGGCCAGCTTGTCCTCATGCTGCCCACACCCAGGCAGCACCCCCAGGCCAGCTCACCCTCACACCAGCCAGCAGCACCCCAGGCCAGCTTGCCCTCACATAGGCCACACCCAGGCAAGACACTCAGATGCGGGAACAGGGCAAAGGCTGATAGAGCAGCAGTACTTTGTAACCAGCCAGAGACAGCAGCCAGCTGTGCCAGGTCTGTGTGCCTGACTGACGCTAAGTGCTCCAGGGCAAACTGCACACTTGGACCGTCCAACAAGGCCAGGCCCATCAGGCACGAGGGGGCCTCTGATGTCCCTCCCAGGAAAAAAGTCACGGAGGTTTCTCATTTGGCCAGAGTATCCCTGGAAGCAGAAGGGTCGCCTTACAAGCAATTAATAAACCCAGTGAACAGACAGAAGCACAAAGCATTTAGGCCCCGCTGAGGCCGGCCCTGCAGAAGTCCGTGTTCTACAGGGGGAGTTCAAAAGGAGATGGCAGCCCAGGCCACACTCTGATTTAGCAAAGCTCAAAGAAGATGAAGGGGCATTTTCAGGTGACTGAGAACTGAAGCCAGTAATGCTGATGAGAAGGTAGTGGATTCCAGAACCAGCAGTTCGATGGTGCAGTCACAGGACAGCTCTTTCAGAGAGTCTCATCTCAGTCTCCGCCTAGTTTCCAGAGCAGCAGGAAAGACAGGCAGGAAGCGGGAAGCCTTGAAATCTCACAAGCAAACACAAGAGGCGGCCTCAGCACCAGCACCAAGGCCATGAGCCCCGGGCTCCAATGGCTCCCTCAAAAGCATCACTCTTGCACCTTCCCGAGACATGGCACACCAGGGCAACCACAAAGTGGGGCCCAGGCCAGAGCTGCCAGGAGGCGGTCACCTGCAGGGGCCCAGCAGCTGAAGGGCGGGAGCCAACCAAGCCGCTGCTGGAGAAAGATGAGCACAGGCCCTTGAGATGGATGGGGTAGGACAGACAGGACCAGACCTGGGAACAGTCCTGCTCTCCTGTCTGTAAGAATGCCATCCCCAGCACCCAGGGTGGTCCCCTGGCAGCTCCACCCCACATCCCTCCACCCATGCGCTGGCACTCAGCTTGGCACAGACTGGCTGAAGAGGCTGCTCCAAGCACCAGACAATAGTCTTCCACTACGGTGGGTGAGAACTGTTTGGATCTCCATCCCTGCCCACATGTCATGTTGAATTGTAATCCCCGGGGCTAGAAGTGGAGTCCGGTGGGAAGTGTTTGGATCATGGGGGCAGATCCCTCACAGTTTGGGGCTGTCTTCATGATAGTAAGTTCTCATGACATCTGATCATTAAGAAGTGCGTGGCACCTCCCTCCCAGCCCTGCTCTCGTGCACTCTCTTGCTCTCTCTGTCTCTTTCTGTCTTTCTCTCTCTCTCTCTCTCACTCTCGCTCCTGCTTTTGCCATGTGACATGCCTGTTTCCCCTTCACCTTCTGCCAGGACTGAAAGTTCCCTGCGGCTTCACCAGAAGCTTCCTGCACAGCCTACAGAAGTGTGATCTAATTCCACAGCTTTCCTTCATAATCACCCACTCACAGGTATTTCTTTATAGTGATGCAAGAACAGCGTCTAATATGGTGGGTTTTTCTGAACTCTAGAAACTCAGCTCATCTCCACTGGTTACAGTTCCCTAAAATAAATGATTTTCCCCAAAAGCAATTTCTTCCTCAGGATACACCAGAAAGAGTCCTTTCACAAAGCCCCACAATGCAGGGCAATCAGACACCTGCCACTGGTTTGCTGTGGATATTCTGCTACTCAATGAATATGTTACTGAGGCTTCAGCAGGAAGAGTCGCTCAGCTCCACTGCCCCACCCACTGGGAAAGGCCTCATTAAACCTGAGCAGCCCAGGACAAAAGGCCCCCACCAGCCTTTTAGAGACAGTGCCCGTGAGCAGGTGGCAGACTCTGCTCTTCCCCAGCGACCCTTCAGAGAAGGTGGGACCCCGAGGCACCTGCCCCTCCGTACCTGACATTCAAGCCCGTGATCTGGTCCAGTCTCTCCCAGTTTTGCAGCTTGGCCAGCAGCCTCTGAAAAGACAACAAAAGCACGGACCCTGTCATCGCCTGCCACAGGATTGTCACATAAGACTGACAATAATGATCACGGCGCTGAGTCCCGGACCTCTCAGGAGAGCCTACCCTTATCTCTGAGCTGGGCACTAAATGCTCCAAGTCTGCTTGGAAGTGGCCGGGTTATTATTCCCCAACTGCAGAAGTCACACTGTACGCTTCATGCCTCACACTGTGCACTTCATGCCTCGCTCCTTCCTGGGCCCATAAATTCAGGTATGAATCCCAGCAAGCAGGCTGGGCGCAGTGGTTCACGCCTGTAATCCCAGCACTTTGAGAGGCTGCAGGTGGATCAAGAGGTCAAGAGATTGAGACCATCCTGGCCAACATGGTGAAACCCTGTCTCTACTGAAAATACAAAAATTAGCTGGGCATGGTGGCACATGCCTGTAGTCCCAGCTACTCAGGAGGCTGAGGCAGGAGAATCACTTGAACCCGGGAGGCAGAAGTTGCAGTGAGCTGAGATCATGCCACTGTACTCCAACCTGGCAACAGAGCAAGACTCCGTCTCAAAAAAAATAAATAAATAAAATAACAGCCTACAAATGGAATATCTTATAGTATCTTATAGTACTCTAGTTCAGAAATCCAAAATGGGTCTCCCTGGGCTGGAATCCTGGCGTCAGCAGGGCTGAGCTCCTTCTGCAGGTTCCAGGGGAGAGTCCACTTCCCTGCTCTTTCCAGCTTCCAGAGGCATCCACGTTCCTTGGCTTGTGGCCCCTCCTCCATCTCCACACCCAGCAGGAGCTGCCAAGTCCCTGTGATGTCACTCTGAGCCCCCAGGATAGCCTAGGAGTCCCTCCCCACTGTGGGCCAGCTCACCTATGACCTCAATCGCCCTGCGAGGAAAGGTGCCGTGTTCACAGGCTCAGGGGATAACGCATGGACCTCTCTGGGAACCATGATTCTGCCTCCCACCCCATCACACAAGGGCACGACCCACTCCGCACAGACCCTCACCTCGTTCTCCAGCTCCGAGCCAACCAGCACCTCCTGCATCTTCTCCTGGGGCCCCAGCTTCCTCTGCAGCCCTTCCAGTTCCTCCTGGAGCAGCCCATTGGTCTCTCTCATCTCCCTGGCAGTGCCACAAAGAGTTGCTCAAATAGCCACACACCCTGGGGATGAAGCCAAGAGCCCAGGGGCCCTGTCCCTATGGGGTATGCACCGCGTGCTCCTGGGCACAAACCCAGACTCACTACAGGCTACTCCATCCCCCATGCCCCCTCACCGCAGGCGTGCACTCTCCTCCTGCAGCTGCTTCAGCTCCCGTTCCAGCCTAGGGAGTCGCACCAGCTCAGACTTCATGTTCTTCACAATCGCAGCATCCTGCTCTTGTAGGGACAGCTTCTGCTCCAGATCCTGTTGGAGGCCAGGGACAGAAAAGAAGGGAAAAATGAACCATGAAGAGACCTGGAGAAAGTCCCACGCACATGGCTAAGAGAAAGAAACTGGTCTGCAGCGGCTACACGAACTGCAGGATCCAACCACAGGACATTCTGGGAAAGGGGGAACTATAGAGACAGCAAAAGTTCCGGAATTGTCAGCTGCTCAGAAGGAGAGAGTTGGGGATTAACTGGGGAAGCACAAAGGATTTTTAGGCAGTAAAACTCTTCTGTGTGACGCTCTAACAGTGAATATAGAACATTTTCCATTTGCCCAAACCATATACTGTCCCACTCCAGGAGAGACGCTCGAGGGACCTGTGGACTCTCCCTGACACTGATGTGTCCAGGCAGGTTCATCACCGTCACACGGGCTCCACTCTACCAGGAAAGGCGGTGTGTGTTTTTTTTGGGGGGACGGGCAGGGAGCAGGGGTGCACAGGAGCTCTACCTTCTGCTCATTTTGCTGTGAACCTAAATCTGCTATAGAAAAAAGCATCCCCTAAAAAGTAAAGTCACTGAGGCCAGGAAGTTCCTCCGCTAAACTGTCCCAGGTCCTCAGCAGCCTCCATGGCTCAGGACTCTCCTCTGGGAGGCCTTCCCGGGCTGCACCAGGGCCCTCAAAGCTGCTTCCAATACTGAGCCTTGGCATTTAGTCCAGGGCAGCTCTTCCCAACACCGTCCTCCCAGCCCACCGTGCACTGGGAGCTGGCATTCACACCACACACCGCTGGGCTGCTGTGCACACCACCGTCCTGCCCTCAGGGAACTATCTAGAAGCAAAAGTCTATCTCAAGTCTGGCCCAAGGTGACACTCCATGGTGAAACATCCCACCCTCCCGTGTCAAGCCCACTTCTGCCTCTCTAGTAGCACGTGTGTAACAGCTTAGTCTTTCCAATAGTGAGGACAGGCTTTTCCCTATGGTACCCAGTCTCCTTGGGACACAGCTGACATCTGTGAGCAGCAAGTTACTGAACAGGCAGAGGATGAAACCACGACCAAACCAGACGGTCATTCAACAAACACTAACGGAGTCCATCTCTGTGCAATGTACCAGGTCAAGTGGCAGAGACAGTGATGCAAAAGACAGACACCAGGCCTCACCGGCCAGCAAATCCTGACAGGTGGGCCGAGGGATGCAGACGGGAGGACGAGGGGCAAGGGAACACCACCAGGAGGTGACATGGCAGAGGCTGGTTGGGGGTGACAGTCAGCTCTGCAGCCAGGAAGAGCTGGTATGAGGCATGGAGGTGAGGGTACATGGGGGGCCAAGGGTGCACAGCCGGGGCACAGGGTCTGGAGGCTGCTCTCCAGGCAACAGGAGCTAGGAGAGGGATCCGGAGTCAGCGTCTCCCTGGCATGCCCTCCACAGGGAAAGGGCACAGCATGAGCTTGAGTAGGTCACCCTGACTGAGACCCAGCTCCAGCTGTGCAACTGTGGGCAGATTTCTCAGCCCCTCTATGCCTGTATCATCTTCTCACACCCTTCAGCACTTGACATCATTGTACATTCGGACATTTTCTCTCCGTGTCTCCGATTAGTCTCCATCCTCTAGAATGCACACTCCCTGAGGGCAGCAGCATCTGCCTCATTCACCATGGCATCCCTGGTGCCCAGCAAAATGCCCACCACACAGGGCAGCAGCAAACCTCACAGGAGGCTCACGGAGCTCGGCACCGGTGCAGAAAGGCCGACAGGGGCAGGAGAGCCAAGACCACCACAGGGATGTCCACAAGGCACCCGACACAAGCAACTCACCTTAATCTGCTGCTCTTGGTCTGCTCTCGCTTCTTGGCTGGCCTGGAGTTCCTGGATTTTCTGACTGGCTTCCTGCTATTTTCTATTAAAAAAAAAATACATCACATACAGAAACAGGCATGTGGCAAGGCCAACAATTCTCTTCAGCCTGAGATCCACCCCAGCACAGACCCACACACGCTCACTCTCACCCCAAGGTTCAGGACCCCCACCTGCACAGACCCCCACACACACTTCCACTGCATGGGTACCCCAAGGTCCTGGGCCCCAGCCCCTGCTGGCTGGCTCTGGGGCCTCAGTCTGCTCATCCGCACGGGGTACATAATGAGCCCAAGCCGCCTGCAAGGTCCTCGACAGCAGCGGCACCCACAGCTTTCACCTGCTGGCCGCAACCCGCAGCCCTGGAGCAGTTGTGGCAGAGCCCCACCCAGAAATGACCTCTCCTCTCTACTATGAAACTAGAACTCTCCTAAAACCACATCTGCTGAGGGAAGAGTCAAACTCTTTAGGAGATGCCCATGGTGCTGGGCATCTTAGAAGGTGCTGACCGCAGCTCCACACAAGGCTCTCATGTCTGTACCTTGGCTGAGCCCAGCCCTGTGCCTGGACATCCCTTCCCAGCTACATCCCCAGCACCTCCAAGGCACATGGTGCCACTCTTTAAATCTAGCCCTAAATAGGGCACGGTGGCTCACACCTGTAATCCCAGCACTCTAGGAGGATGATGCAGGAGAATCACTTGAGGTCAGGAGCTCAAGACCAGCCTGGGTGACAAAGTGAGACCCCCATCTCCATGAAACATTTTGTAAAATTAGCCAGTTGCAAAATTAGCCAGGCATGGTGGTAGGTGCCTGTAATCCCAGCTGCTGAGGCAGGAGAATCACTGAACCCAGGAGGCAGAGGTTGTGGTGAGCCGAGATGGTGCCACTGCACTTGAGCCAGGGTGACAGAGCGAGACTCCATCTCAAAAAATTAGCCAGGTGTAGTGCAAATGCCTGCAGTCCGAGCTACTCTGGAGGCTGAGACAGGAGGATCGCTTGACCCCAGGAGGTGGAGGCTGCAGTGAGCCATGATTGTGCCACTACACTCTAGACTGGATGACAGAGTGAGACCCTGTCTCAAAAAATAAAGTAAAATCTGCAGGAGCCCTCTCCAGGAAGGAGTGTGAAAAAGTTGCTGCCCTCACCCTGCTCTAGGAACATGAGGACACTTTCTGGGCTCATGGTCCTGGCTCCAGGGGCCTCAGTGTCTGCCCCTCTTGACTGCCTGTGAATTAGGACAGCATCTGGGAGTGCATCCATATCCCACCCAGCCCCCAGGAGAGAGGCAGACCCCCCCAAACCCCAACCCGTGACCTGACCCCTGCCAACTCCTGCCTTGACCTCACACACAGGCCACCACCCACTTGTGCTGCAGGTCCAGCTGCTCCTGCAGTTCCTGCTTCTCCGACTCCAGGTGTTTCACCCGCATCTCCTGATCCATCACGTTCCACTGCAGTTCTGAGATCCTCCCCTTCAGTGTGTTGATGGTCTGAAAGCAGAGGGGGCCAGAGAACCACTTAGTAAGCCAAAACCATGTGCAGGGCAGGGGGTGGAGGAGAAAGGAGGCAGGGGGCAGAGAAGCAGGGGGGCTGGGGCAGAGGGGCAGGAGGGAGGGAGCAGAGAAGTACACAGGCAGAGAGATAGAGGGGCAGGGGGGCAAGGGAGCAAGGGGGAAAGGAGGTGGGGTGCAGGGGGGCAGGGGGCAGAAGGGCAGAGGGGCAGGGGGCAGAGAGGCAGAGGGATGGGGGGTCAGGGGAGCAGGGGAGCAGGGGGCCAAGCTACCTCCTCCAGGAGGACATGCACCCAGGCAGACGCCGACATGCAGGGCCTACCCTTCGCCAGGCGCTCCAGAACAGCACAGCTCAGAGCCTGCCACAGGCCACCCAAGAGCTGACGGAAAACACCCAGGCCCCAGCCAGGGCCCCTGGAAACGAGGCTTGGTGAGCAGGCTTCAGAAGCAAAAGCCCCCACCAGCCAAGATGGGCCTGGACTCTCAGGCCTGGCACCTGGCAGTCTCTGTGCCAGTGCCCCACACTCCCAAAGTCCCACCAGGCATCCACATGCCTGTCACACCGGGCTCCTACAGCCCGCACTAGCCAGGCCGCTCACCTCAGCGGCCCACGGTCCGCTTGCCGCCGCCGCCGCCGCCGGCAGGGACTGCGGCGGGGAATGCGGAGGGGTCAGGACGCTATGTGGTCCCGCAAAGAGGCAGCTGAGCTTGGGTCTCAGATCGTTCCACACCTTGCTCATCTGAAAGGGAACACGAAGAGAACAAGATCAGCAGGCGGGGCCCGGCCTCCCCACCACGCTGTAATCCCAACTCCTTCCCCTCCCTCCTTCCCCTGCCAGTGACAGGGACAGAGGGGCACGCAGGTGCATCAGCTCCTCAAACCTCCGACAGAGCCAGTGCTGCCCATCCTGCACAGAGGAAGTCCAAATGAGGAGTGGACCAGTGGCCTCATGTGACCTGTGGTCACAGATGCCCATGCCTCGGACCCTGCACCCAGGACCAAGGGCCGCAAAGCTGCCTGCCATGGAATCACGAGAAGGGTTACTGTCGGGTCACTGCCAGTACGTGCTCTAGCTACCGTGTAGGCACTGGCTTCATGGAAGCTTTGGCAGGTAAAACACCAAGGCCAGCCTGGGCCACAGAGGGATACCCAGTCTCCACAAAAAATCAGAAATCTTGGCCGGGTGTGGTGGCGCATGCCTGTGGTCCCAACTACTCGGGAGGTTGAGGCTGCAGTGAGCTGCAATTGCACCACTACACTCCAGGCTGGGTGACAGAGCAAGACTCCATCTCAAAACAAAAAAGCAAACCAAAAACATGAAGACCACATCCACCAAATCAATAACACACAAACCACAATGCAAACGCTGGCCCCACTCACCAACACTTTTGGAACAAGGGCAACGGATGCTGTGGATGTGAGGAGGGGAGTGTGGCAGCAAGGCAGGGGTCAGGACAAAACCTGCTGTGCAGGGGATTAGACACGGGCAGGGCGCAGCTCTGGGGTCCTGCAGGGGAGGCTGAGTCACTGGAGCACAGCACACTCATCTCAGCATCACAGGACTAGGAATTCCTCATCACCACAATAATGGAACTGGTAGGACTGGGGTGATGACATCATGCCCCAGGCAGGACAGGGCCCCACCTGTTGGTCACGTTTCTTCACTGAGGACATGCCCAGCCACTCAGATGTCCAAGCCCAACCTGGTCCCCTGAGGCCCCGGCCACCTCGCAGTGATGCTCCTAAGGGCAGCTGTCTCCGCCTCTCCAGCCCCACCACTGCCACCTCCGGCCTGCCATTCCCAAACTGCCAGACGGCACCCAAGGCACCAAGCACCTCCCAGGGAGAGTGTGAAACCTTATGACCATCCCAGACACTCAGGACCATTCAACACGTGCCACAGACCACGGCTTCAAAGCTGCTTGCAGATACTTAATAAACTCAATCTCAACCAGGCACAGTGGCTCACGCCTGTAATCCCAGAACTTTGGGGGGCCTGTCTCAGGACTGCAAGAGCATTTCTTCTCAAAGGCTGAAGGAAGCACCATCTGGAGAAAGCTGGCCCGTGCTCTTTGGAAAAACACCCCACCTGCAGTGCTCCCAAGCACTCAGAACCCTTGTCTCAGCCACAGGGTGCGGGAGCTCTGCAGGCTTTACCTCTGACTTCTCAAATCCCTCCAGAAGGCAAACTGTC